AATTTCTGATCTCAAAAACGTACACTGACGCTAGTTTACAATTTACTTTCCCTTTATTTTTCTTGTTCGCTTCTAATGTCTAAAAGCAAGGCGAAATCTTCTTGAGGCATCAGATAGGTCTGCGGTTGCGCGTTGGGCCCTTGTACTGGGTTAAGTGTAATAACAGTAGTGAACTTTTATATTACGGTTTGCACCCAACTCAGCATTGATCGGTCCGTGAATGTTGGCTTGCGGATCTTTATCTTCGGTGTCCCAGGCAAAGTACTCTGATCTATGTGTCATTCCATCCACTTCCTGACAGAGGTGGGTGTTAGCCTTTATCAGCACAAACGGTGAGCCAGTTGGGAGGCGAATGGCTTCTGTGGCATCTCCATCCGTACGGCAGCAATATTCGATGCGAGTGTTACCGTTATAATAACCTTTCGGAAGCGTGCCACCTCTTTTGTTATTGTTATTGTCATCTTCATCATCCCAACGAACGTATGCCTCCTCGAAATCTGTGCAACAAATAGTTAGCGCAGCATTTCGCTTGAATTGAATTATTTATTTGAGGGAAGATGCGAGGTACGACAACTATAATTTATCATTTCACAATTACTTCAGTTGAACACAACAAGGCAACGGAGTGCGAAAAGTATGCGACGATATTACGTTGCAGAAAAGGGGAAAAACACGGGCGGAAAGCGAAGCAAAAAAATGACCGCACTGAACGCTTCAACCTCTGACTTCTACAGGTTTTTCGGCATGTCCTTTTCAGCAACGACTGAAATTTTAAGCGACGAATGACCTTTTAAGCGTAACAGATATTTTTGTTGGTAATAGAAACACTTATAAAAAATGGTATCATTTTCATTGTTTCCGTCTTACGCGATCAATACGTTGCTAAGGTAAAGCCGTAAGAAGCATTCGTAAAACTGGAGGCCTAGAAAGTGAAATAAAAGCGGAATAAAACCCTTACTCGATGGTTCAATCTATAAAATAAACGGAAATAGTCCGTAAATATCCGCGCGTATTATTTGTTAAACCGTCGAATAAGATGCAAGAAAAATACTTCAAAGAGCGAAAAATACTGGTTGAGGTCAATGTTTTTTTCTTTCTTAGGGGTAGGTCATGTGATCGATTGGTTTAAGATCTAAAACTTAAGGAATGGAAATACATGTAACGGCCGGAGATGGTTGCGTTTTTGGAAAGACTCGTACCGGAGGATCTGAGGCACGGATCACGGCGGAAAAAGTGACGAATCACGGATAACGGATATCGAAATTTTTGTTGACCGAATTATAAAAGATAAGCATGTCACATAATTTATACGGCTCGTGAGAAAAGAAACTTCGCCATGTTCACCATAAAAAATAAGAAAAGTCCAAAATTTTTTAATATTTTCATTAAAAAAAGGACTTTCTGAACTAACCTGCGGGGCAATATTCTTTTTTGAAGATGCAGTATTTTCCTTTAGGCCATGGCAAATTATATGTGGATGTTCGAAACCTTATCTTCATACAGAACTTTTGCTCCATGTTACTTTTGCCAACATGTCCCGCCAAATCGTAGGGGTTTGACCAATAATTGCTTGGGTCTTTATCTTCAGTGTCGTGGTATCGCCAGCCCGTGTGCCAAAAACCTCCGTTTGGACATCCTGATTTTGCCATAGGAAGTCCATATTTGCCCAGTGGCCAAGTTAGAGGAATGCGGACTGTAGGATCTAACAAAATTCCAAGAAACCTTATAAGACGACAACTCTTTAACATAGTTACAGAGTTGCAGGTTATTTTAGCCGAGGGAATACGCACTTAAGAATTAATGACGTTGCTACCAAAGGTAATGTTTCTTCACCGAAGCTGAAAAATGTGTGCTTTCTTAAAGATATATTTGGAAAAAAGAGAGAAAAAGTCTGTTGAACATGACTTTTCAGTCAACAAAAGAAAAATGTTAAGAAAAATCTAGGAAGTAAGTTCAATGATTCTTAAATTGTTCAAAACAGTAGAGCAAAAAAACGTCAATGTTTTCAAAATAAAGACGTTTAAGCCTGTTCAGAACATGATTAATTCTTGTTGGCTACAAAATACCTTCCAGCTCAAGTTTATGTTTTTAGTCAAAATTATCGAGCAGTGGATTGTTCAGTCAATATTAGTCATGCAGTTGAAAGCTTTCCATATCACCATATGATTATGTGTTCGAAAATCTTTCAAAATACTACGTCAGCACTTTTCAGATTTCAGACCTATCTATCTCGAAAACTACACCAAGTTTCTTTTGGCTACACCAAGATTCTTTTGGAATTTTGAAAGCTCAAGATCAGATTTATTTCATAAGCATAGGCATAGGCATCGGCCAGGAAAAATTAGATCCCAATCATCAGAAGATGACGAAGAGGGTTAATGAGGATCTTTACGAATATCATTAAAAAATACATCAAAATAGCTATTACCTGATTGTTAACGTTACAAAAGTAACACGACCGTTTCTAGCATCTATATATACGTGATGATACCTCGAGGATACGTTTTAGCTCCTTCTAAGCCTGGGTATTCTTTCAAAATCTTTTTCACGTTCGTCCTCCGTTGTGCCAAATTCTGACATTGGTATTTCTTACTGAGTGCCTTGAAGAAGCTGTCGTCAAATGCCCGGTCAATGGAAATCAACTTCAATCCAATGGGCTCAGGCTTGTTTCGTGTACCACACCGAAACACAACTTTTTCACTTCCAAATGAAGTGCCACTTGTCATGGATGCTGTGAACCTTTCAAAGTCAATGGAGACAGAGCTACTAAACCCTTTGTACCCGCCAGACACAGACATCGCGGCTTTCAGCTAAGGGAAAGAAACAAAAAAGTCAGAGCGAAAAACATATAAACTCGATGTGGAAAAGTGCTTTGATAACACTTATAACACGCGGGGAGCCAGTTTTCATGTTTTATTTTCGATTTCGTTGTCGTCTGTAACGATTTATTGGTAATTTTTCACACTGTGTATTTTTGAGCCAATATGAATCAGTTATCGTTAAAAGGCATCATGGAATAAAAGAAGTCCATAAAGAACAAAACTTATGTTTTCAAAATTCAGATATGTTATCGGTACATAGCTCAACTTTAAATGTTCCATGGAGCTTTTAGGGGCCAAAACCAGGTTGCTGGCTAATTTATAATTGTTATCCGAATGGCTCTTTGGAGCATAACGGTAAGTTATCACTCGTCTAGGAGTTGGAACCAAAGGAAATGTGACTTTGCCTTTACCCTTTAACTCCCACGATTTAAGAATTTGTTTATGCTTAGCGTGCGTATATCGAGTAATAGATGCACGCGGGAAGTTTGGAGAGCATGAAAAATGCGTAAGAGTAGCTAGAGGCGCAGCCGAGAGCAACTCTAGCTTCTTGGGTGCTCTCCAAACCTCCCATCCATAACATCCATAACTCGATATACGCACAGCTAAAAGCATGAGCAAATTCTTTTATAACAGAGCGACAACAAGGATCTGCACGAAAAAACCTTTTATTGTGATAGAGTACAAAATTCTCACAACGCACAGAGAAAAGTAAACAAACGTCCCTATTGGCTGGTCAAAAACACGCCACATTTTATACTTTGGTTTGAGCGAAAACATTTGATCCAGTTAACCGATAACTGTGAATGAAAAGCCCAAAATATATGGGGAAAATGGAGAAAATCAAAGCCAGATGAACTAGAGTGTCACTAAAAGATGTTTTAACCCGGCCTTCCGACAAATTTGCGAAACGTGAAACTTGCAAGTTCAATGCAAATAGAAAAATTGGTGGAAAAATTTCCGCACAGCCCCATACTTCATTATGCATCCATATATGGGGCTTTACTATTCAGTGTATCACCATTAAGATGTGTATCATACACAATTAAGTATGGGGCTGTGCGGAAATTTTTCCCGGAAACTCTAAAGCCAGGAAAAAAAAAAAATCCCACGTCATCTTATTTACGCACGCCCGTGCGTAAATAAGATTTTGTTCATGGCGGCTCAATAAGACCTATGTAGGGTAAGCACGCGCGCCATGTTTTAATATCAATTCTCCCCTCTAACTGCTTCGGAGAATTTGGTGTCAGATCGAGATAACAACTTCAACCTGATAAGTTTGAATGTACTTATAATATAGGGAGAAGTTACTTGTTGATCACTTCTGGGCGTTAAAGTGTTAAGGGCAATCAAACGAGTACAGTCGAACGCCAAGCAACAAAATCTATTTCACTTTGACTTGCTCCGAATTTTACTGTGCACATTGTTGCATGGTAGTAATTAATTTCAATGAGCGCAGAAACTTATTGATAGATGAATGACCTCTTTTTGCTCAATACTCACATTTTTCATGGCATACTTGAAGAAATCAACATACGAACTCTTGTAGCGGTCAATCTTCTTGGTTCCAAGTTCCACCTCGCTGACAATATGCTGTAAGGAAAATAATAAAATTCAAACAAAAAGATACAGAACGCTCTCCAGTCTGTAGTTTAGCTTATATTATTCTACAGGCAAGTTCTATTAGATAAAAATGAAAATTATCTTAATGTCTCA